CTTTATCCGCGGACCAAGGCAATTCAAGCGTGATATGAACCCTCCGTCTTCGGTTTGGAGCACGCCTGTCAGACTAAAAACTTATTAATAAACAAAACATGATGAGATGAAAACCTACAAAAAATTAAGGAAATGAACTGGGCTTATAAATCGGCTAAAAACATTTTAAAACCTGTAACGAAATGCCCGAAGATGCTGCTTCAGAGATAACAGCAATCAACTTTTCACCGCGCATGAACTTTTCTTTCTCATCCATATTCATCAACTCCAAAGGAACGTCAGCACCAGTGTGACGCAACTCATATTCAATTTCTCCATCTTCTCGGCTCACCACCCTTCCTTTCCGACCGGTCATCTACATCAAGCAGATGAGTTTCAATACTCTACATAAAAAAAAGAATAAAAAGGTGAAGAAAGTAAATGACCTCTGCGACGTATTCCGGACCTCCAAGCTCGTTGATAAGTTGGTCGAGTGTGTTTGGCGGCAACCTCGTTCCCAGTCTTTCAGCCGCTGCTAATAATTCAGCTTTCACCATAGATCCACCCGATAAGAGATCCTCACTACTTTCATTTATTATGCGGGAAGATGATATAAAAGCATCAGCACTATTCATCTGGAATGAGATTCAACGTATAATTTATTGATTTCTGTAGCCGAAAATCAGCCACACCCTGTCATTTCGTAGAATAAAAAAATACCAATTAAGAGGCCATAAGCCAAAAAACGACATAAAATACAGAATTATACAGTTACCATGGCTTCTGACTCAAGAGCCTTCTTCCTTACGGGTATCTTGATTTCCTTTTTTGCTTTCTTTCGTTTTTTTGACTTTTTTTTCTCCTTCTGAGGTGAATCTGATACAATTTGTTGCTTTGAAGCCCAGGGATCTTCTAAAAAGAAATCAAATAAAAAATGCTTCCTCAAAACTTTATATAAATGAATAAAGCAGAAAAGCACCATAAGAACGTAAGGATACATTGTAAAAACGGAGTAACTACTTTGAACAAAAGAAGCACCTCAACGAAAAAAGAGGAGAATGCGAGAAAAATGACAAAAATATTTTATTTTTGATGTTAAGGGAACTGTAACTAACCACCACGGCTAAAGTCACAAGCGAAAGGGTTTACATCATCGTCCGTCCCATCAGTAGACCTAACCTCCTTTTTTTCATCATCAGTATCAGTATCATTTTGAGAATCATCTGGGTTTTCATCTGTACCTTCTTCGTCAGAGCTTTTAACTTCGTCCAACAACCTTTTCAACCATGTATCCTCATCACCTTTTATTTCCCCTTCATCTGAAAGATTTTACTTATGAAACTACATAACAGCCAAGTATTGGAGTCAGTGAACGAAAATAACTGTAACTCGCTACATTATAAATATACCTCCGCTGGCTGAAGACAGTCCCTTATCCGACTCATCACCAGAATCATTGCAAGAATCGTCGTCAGCAGAAGAAGAACTTTTTTTCGAAACACTGCTTGAGACAGACTCTTCGTCATCAACTTTAACACGCTTTG